TCGACCCGCAGATTGCGAGTCGAGCGCCCTAACCACCTGGCCATGCCAGGCCCACTTTTATGGAAAAAAAAAGTTATTTGAGACATAGATATACTTATGAACAAAAGACAGTTTGCTGCTAGATAGGAATGGCTGCTGGAAAGAAGTGCTGAGCTTTCAAGAAGTCCTCTTCTAGATGTAGGAATTTTTCTGATGTTGCAAAGGTCCATGACATTTTTCAAGATGCAAACATAGACTTTTGGATTCTCTCACGTCTGAAGTACCCAGACCACTTCAGCAAACCATACCTCTGATACCTGATCTCAGTCAAAGGGAAGCACAGACGAGTGGGGATTATTAACATGGAGTAGTACCTGATGAGCTTGAGACCGAGTGGAGAGGTCTCTACAGGACTTATAGGACTGGTTACCAATGAAGAAAAATGTGTTGTGCCACTGGTGGATGACCTTCACCAATCAGAGCTGTTTCACCAGCAGGTGAGACAGTGGGCACTCAAGGGTAAAGATTGCGAACCATACGGTGGTGTGTCTTTCAGGAATGAAAGGTTTCCTGTAATTTCATCTATGATTAATTATACCTGGTGTCATGCATGACAAGCTTTTATGAGTAGTTCATTGCATGGTCACCCTGAACAAGGAACTGACTGCCCATCTTGGGGGTTAGAATTCCTGCAAACAGTTATTCTCCAGTATCAACAACATTAGTAGCACCGCCATCTGCCATTTATTAGGAAAGACTTTGGTCAGCTACACGGGTCCGTGTGAGTAAAGCCAAGTAGATCATACCTTTAATTTTTAAGGGAATGGTGAAGAAGATGAGAATCAGGTATGTAACTGCCCGGAATGGAGAGACTTGGAAACGGGCTGTCCAATGCTTGATCTTGAGCAGGGATGTTCAACCATTGAACATCTGGATGAGAAACATGCTGCATTGCTAATTTGACCCGGTGGAGCACTGGGTGATTTATCAGGGTGAGTTCAAGGCTCAGATGAGGACTGGCACTGCAGAACTGGCTGACTATGCAGATGATCTGTGCCAATTGCATGGAAGGGCCTACCAAGCAATGACATCTACAGATCAGGAGAACATTTTGGTTGACATGTTCATTGAAGGAATACTGAACAAACCCATGTGACAATACCTAGAGTGAGTGGCATCCTCGTCCTAATTGAGAGTTGCCTTAGCCATTTTTTAAGTAGTAGCTTCAAACCAGTTGTTGGAAAGTAAAAAGCATGCAACATTAGCCGAGACAGTCATCTGTCCAACAAGGGATGAAGTCTCAGTATTGATTTGTAATTATGGGCAATCTGTTACCCAGCTCAAAGTTGGAATCGTTGTAGGCACATTAAATGAAATGAAGATAACCAATGCTAGCAGTAACACTAGGGTCACATCCATTGCAATGCTGCCGACAGCAAATACATGGCTAATATATCCGAGGTTCTTGGTTGAGGATTGTGAGAACAATCTGGACCCAATGCAGTGAAAGTGACTTGTTGGTTGAATATGCTAATGTATTTGTGGGACTAGCTGGCTGAGTGGGTTGAATAGTGGTTAATCAAATATGTATAAACACAGGTGATACACACATAACTGGTGCACAAGCTTTCCTGGGGCACTAAGGTGGTTGCAAGTGCTGAAATACAGTAGGAAGAAATCGTAAAACCTTCAGAGAGTGCTTGACTGTCTCCAGTAATAATTGTAAGAGAGAAAAAATATATTCCAAGTTAAGTGTTGAACATGGTAACTCATGTTGACAAGTTTCTTTAACCAAGAACAGCTTAATGTTGGGATATGTTGGAAAGTTCCCATTGTTTCAACACCTTGATTTCTTTGTTGTTAAGCACAAAGCTACACAACAGGCTATTTGAACTTTGTCCACAGTTGGTATTGAAACACGTTTTTTAGCATTACAAGCTTTCAGACTTACCTCTGTGCTACCGAGGAGGTACAATGCCTTGAATATAGCACTTGAATACTGAAAGATCAAGTTACATTTAGTACAAAAGATGGCTTGTACGAATTCTGCATTATGCTATTTGGTCTGTGTAACACATCAGCTACTTTTGAACAGTTGTTGGAGCTAAGATTGAAAGGATCGCAATGGGCTATGTTGATGAGGTTTTGATGTTTGGTTGCACTTTTGAGTCTGCATCTGAGAACTTGAACATAGTATTCCAGTACATAGTTAAAGCAGGTTTTAAAATGAAACTGGGAAAATATTCACTCAAACAGAGGTGTAGTTTTTCAGTCACATTGTGGGGAGAGATGGAGTCATGACAGAGCCTTTTGCAATGTAACTATGCTGTAGAGCAATTATAAATATGCATGTTCATCAGCTAGAGCATGAATGAACAAAGCAAAATGGATTGTAATGTTGCAATAAGACTTCAAAACAGTTTAAAATAATGTACTCAACCTGTATGTTTATCAGGTTATTCACTAAAAGAGAAATAATTGTGTACAAAACTTAGAAAATTATACTTGATGATTTAAAAAATACAGGTCATATCTTGTCTGAGCTTTAATAAAATTTGACTTACATATTGTTCAGTTCATTTGTAATGCCAATTATAGTGGAAATATATTCATGATGTTAGAAAAACACGTAGGTTCAAGAAGTCTTGATAGAAATGAATAAAAACCCTATAATCTGAGCACTTTTGAAAGGTGGACCTTTCTTCTTCAGGGGCAAACTGGGAATAGTGGAGATATAGTTGAACTATTTCTATTTGATGTTGTACATTAATGCACAGTTACTAAGCTGACAGAACAAATTACAAATACTTTAGTTTTTGTTTTAATCACTAATCATGGTTTTCACCATGTTTGCATTTTTAAGAAAGTTCATTTTGAATTACTTAGATACATATTAAAATAAAAAACAAAATTAAGACTTTTTAAACATTTATTTTCATAATATATGTATTGGCACTTGTAATTTTAAGATCTGCTTAAGTGTCTCGCTGTAAATATTGCAGACACATAATTTAAATAAACAATGAATTAATACAAGAACAGCTTGTTCAAACTGCAGAATATCAGTACATACAAGTTCTGTTTAGGATATTATACACATCAGCTACTCTCTAGGCAAGTTAGAATTCTGAAGCAATGATCAAATAATCACAGAGTATCCTAATGGACGGGTTTTTCTTCAACACTATATGCAGTCACTTCACATCAACTTCACTATATTATATTTTTCTAAATTCAAAACTGGGTTATTAGAATAACAGAACAATACAGAAGTGAAGTGCTGTCTTGTAGGTCCAGAAAAATTCGGGAAGAAAGGGATGTCAAACTAATAAGGATTATGTGTGTGTCTAGGTGTGAAAAGTTGATAGTTTTGAATCATTCCTATAAAACATCATTACAAATTATTCGGTAATAAAGATTAACAGGTAATGCTAACTACTATGTTTTGTAATTAAATAACTTTATAGTTTTCTTTTTCAAATTCTAGGAAATATGTTTGATTTGAGACTGATTACATAAAGATGTTTATATCTAACAATTAAAACTCAAGCAAACGTTTTTTAAACTCTCACTTAACACAATATTCCATTTTAATATGGTAACATAATACAATGTTTTTCTCATCCATTTAGGATAAATAATTTTATATTTTTGCTAGATAAAATTCATAGACGTTTATGATAATGCTGTACATGCAGTATTTTACAACAGTTTCATATTAGTTTTAAAATATAATTGCAATGTTTCTTTAATGAGTAAGATAATATCAAAACTGAACAATGTTTGTTTCAGTATATGGAATAGTTGAAGGCACATGAATGACCAGACAAACACACTAAGTTGACCTAATAGATTAACCAGAGTTATACTGAACAAGTTAGCCATTTTTTTACTTTTTAGTACCATCAGATTTGTACAGCTATCCTTATAAGGCTTAATTCAATTCTGAAGAATATGGCAATGTATGATTATTCTCAGGAAGATTTACATTTAAAGTTTCTCACCTACAACAACACTATGTCAATGATAATACTACACTCTTTCCACAAATTGGAACAGTAACTGATAAACCTTGACTTTTCAAATACAATTCTTAAAATTTCTTTCTAAAAGTATATATAAAATGCATGAAAAATTTGTCTACAAAAAAAAAATGACCACCTCCAATCCTACAGTGTTACAGTCATAAATACTAAGCCTTAGGGTAAAAGTATTCATCAAATGAATTTACAATTTGAGAAAGTAACTATGGTAAGAAAAGAAAACACTACATAGTTGTTCTTGCCATTTTAAACATTTCAATAAAAATAAATAAATTTATATAAGCTGAAAATAATTAGAAGTGGTGTCATTGTGTATATTATATTTAATATTTATTCAATTCTATAATAAATCTAAAACTGTGTAATAACTTTCACATTTTTGATGAAACCAAGAAAAACTTGTATTCTCAAATTTACATGTCAATTTATGTTTCTCAACAAAACTACAAAAATATTTTTTCCTTTGAGATAAAATCTTTCAGTATTACAAAAAAAAACTTGACAATATCTAAGCAAATTTAAAAAAAATCAAAACTCAACTTGAAGAAACACTATCAGAAAGCAACGATGTAAAATAAAATCAAACACAGTATTTTCCTGTTAATGCATGCTTCACAATACACTGAAACAAAAAATAGGAACTAATAAAATATGTCATGTTTCTTAACTATCCTATTTCAGCAAAAAAAGAATAGAGCTCCTAAGCCTTGCATATAAAATAGTTCACATTATTATTCAAAATGAACAGCCATCATAAATGCTCAAACTCGAGCATGGCATTAAAGCACAGTTGCATCTAACAAATGTTGGTTTAACTTTCAAGAAATACTACAGTGAATTCTTTGTAATTTTTAAAAAAATGTTAACTTTTAGTTTCACACATATATCTTTGACTCTTTAAATGCAATTATATTTTTGCAATAATATTCAAATAAAAAATGACTTAAAAAGACCACATTTCTTGAAAGTACAACAATCTTATTTCAAGTTTCTATTTATAGTAGTACATTCATAAAACTCGTTTTCTTTCTTTTTTTTTACAATAATACTGTACAGTAACCACTTAATATTTCTGTATTCTATCAGTATAAGAACATGAATGTCCTCACTGAAGTAAGCTCATGGGCTGAACATTGGTAATGCTTCCAAAAAAAGAATAAAAGAGCTGTGGACAATGACAAGTGGCACTACCAGTTTTTACACCTGTCCACAGGAATACAAGTCACAGAGCAGACAAAGAATCTACAATTCTGTTGTCATATGAGAGGTCAGGGCTTGAACACGTTTAGCATTGCAGTTTCGACAGAGGATATGATCATCCAAAGGATAACAACCACGACCCTCAGCTTCTGAAGACAGCAACAAGCTACAGTCCTAAGGAAAAAAAAATTACTTTACAACAATTATTCAACTGTAAAAACTGCACTTCTAATATCAAGTTGAATCTGTTTGTTGTTGTTGTTTTAGATTTTATTGTAAATCATTATTTATTTCATTAATAAATGCTAAAATTACTTGTTCAATAAATTTTAAGAATGTCCCAGTGCATACACTTTTTTCTCTTGAGGGAGAGAATAATTCTTATTTAAAAACAAAAAAACTAACTATTCACTTGCTTATTAAGCTAGATTATTGTGCATAAATGATAAATATAAGCATCTTAAGTTTTTTGTTAAACGAAATCATTCAAGGGTTTCAGAACTTAGTATTTTAAAAGAATTGAAACAAGTGTCCCCTTAACTATTTATGTTTAAATGTTACTTTCAAGTGATAACTATATTTTTAACTTGCTAATTTGAACAATTTTATGTTCAAACAACTGTTTTGTACTTAACTTACTAGTTAAATTACTTGACTTAATACATATGAAAAATAAATGTCATAACTACAGAGATACTTGAACACCCATATGAGAAGAACAGAGCACAATTTACCTCACACCTGTAACATTTGACATGGAAACTTCTGTCCAATGCAACAACCCTAACAGTTTCTTGCTGACCTGGTTCAGGCATTATAGGTTGTTTACAAACACAACACCGAGGAGCAAACTTTCTGAAATATTCATAAATTGCATATCAGTAATTCTATATTGGACAACAAAAAATGTGAAATATCCAGATAACAGATCAATATGAACAAAACTACTTTACAAATCACTTACTAGTAAACAATGTTTGTCTTTCAATATCAAAATTGTTTGGAATTACTATTTTGGTACTTATTCTTAGAAAAAAAACTGTTGTGATCCAAATTTATTCTATTAGCGTACTATACATGTTTTCCATGATAAATAAATAACTACAAAATTTAGCTTGTAAACAGTCCAAATGATTTACACATGTTAATGCAGATGCATTCACTACATATTTGAGTTGTAGCACTACAGACAACATATTTAAACTTTTACATTTGATTCACAGTGAGTGACTGACCACCTAATAGTGCAATGCTGCCAGCCTAATTGTCCCTTTAAGTCTGTTTAAATGTGGCTTTGGAAGCCAATGTCTATATAAAGTGGAGGACCTATGGAACGTCTGTCAAGACATGTGGTTTGAAATGTGACGCTTGTCACAGTGAAAATTGTAGTGTTTAGGCATGAACATCAAGAATATTAGAATGAGCACAAATGATAATGGAGGAAGTAATTCCAAAGGATTCTTGAAATATGTGAAATTTTTTGAACAATTCAGAATTTTACATAGGATACGGGGAAATAAAAATATTCAGTGTTGCATTATTAAGACCATTTTGTCTACTCATTGGCTACCTAGACATCATTTAGCTTAGGTTGCATCACTTTGTACTACTGGTGAATTGCATGATTATTGATATCTACCTATTTACAACTTCATCCAATCAGAAAGCACCATATAGTACGGACTACGCCACAATTAGATACTGCTAAATTTGTGCACATGTTCATGACTTGATACCCAGGCTGATGATATGTTGACTTTACAAAAGTATTTCTGAGATAACTTTCCACAGTACTCTTATTGTTGTTTGTTTAAATATTCTAAGAACAAATTTATGTTATTTTTTTTTAAGAATAACAAAAGTGTCATCAACATTCCTGTGATATCTAACAGGCTTTTCATGATAACACAAAAACAGATTCATTAGACTAGGTGTTAATCGCCCATAACAACACTATCTATTTGATTATAAATAATCTTATGAAGTTTAAAATGAGACTACTTAGTAGTAAAATTTAATAACTTCCTAAAAACAGATTTTTTTAATCCTTGTACAGTTGCATCATTTTGAAAAACCAAATCTTCTGCTATTTGAGTTACTTCCTGCAAAGGAATATTGTCATTCAGGGACTCAGTGTCAAAACTTGCACAATAAACTTGTTCATCAAATTTTAAACCTGCCAGTTGTTTAGAGACTCAAAACTATTCCCAACCATTTATTCATTCTTTTCAAATACTTTAAGAGTGGAGGGAAGAGAAAGTTTTTAAAAAACTGCAAGTATCTGGAGTTTGGTTTTTCCATCCTTGGTCTACCTACTTCAAATAGCTTAGTTCTGTTCATACTGTTAAAAAGGAACTATTATTTCTTAATTAAAGAATATTTGACAATTTGTGACAATAGTAATTCTTTTACGGTTAATACCCAATTATTGATAAATAAATTAAAAAATAATGGTTTTAAAGACTGACAAATAAAAAAAATTTTATTTTCATAATAAATATGAGAATATGTTAAAAAGTAAATTCTTTATTACTGAAATTACCTTATTACTATAGTTTAATATAGAGACTATCTAAACATGTGCCACACATCAAGTAAATATACCCAAAATGAAGTTGTTACAAGTATATCTTACATGTCATTTACTTCTTCATTTAATCTATAACATATATAACTAAAGCTTTGTGGTTGTTGAGCATGCCAAAGTAAACCAATCGACACTATGATCAATAGCTATAACAATGAAGTTTCAAATACAATATTATAGTTAGTGATCACTAATTTTATGCTAGAAGTTCTATGGAAAACCATGAAATAAGCCTGTAAGTACTGAGCTGAGCTCTTATTGTTGGCTAATTAATACTCTTTTATTGATACTAATTATTTTTTTACTGGTTAATTCTCACCCATTTCCTGTAAGTAAAATCATAAAATGGCTCAATGAAGAGTAAAGTTTATTTTGTAATAAGATGATAAATATTTGAATTGAAAGAGCTAAATCATTTTTCTAACAATCTAACAAGATATGAAAGAGCACAATAGGAGTTTATACTTTATAGATTTGTCATAAATATAACCAAAAAGTGCTTTTGGGCATGTTGCATTTCTTATACTTCTGATATTTACAATAGTAAATATAGAAAAACATTCAAGTTATCCTTATTAAAGCTAAAGTAAGGTAAAGTAACTAAGTGAAATTATAATTAGTTGCTAATTTCAGAATATACATGCTTTTTGTTTTGGAAATATAGAACACTTTATTACCTGACTAAAAGCCAGAATAAAATCTATCTATATATATAATAATCATTTTATTGTAAAGACTTTCTTGAACTACTTACTTCTGGAAATCTAAGCATAGCTTGCTTATAACAGTCTAGATGTTATTTATGTATAATGGATGAATTACTTTGAAATTCATTGGACTACTTACTTGTGAAAGTCATCAATGCAGTGAATTTGATTGGTGGCATCAACAGTGAATGGAATGCCATCCAGACATTTTCCACAAACCACACATTTGAAACATGCAGGGTGATATGGTTTTCCAGTAGCTCTTAAAATCTAAAAGCAAAAAGAAATTTAAATTTTGAGCTCAATGACTGCACTGCAAGTTAATATAGTAAATGCTTTCTTACAACTACATCTATATCCAAAGTTATGCATCAACCTAGAATTATCCAATTTTGCTTCTTAAAGTCAAAACCTTGTTTTCTGTTTGTTTGTTGTTGAGCACAAAGCTACATCTATGCTCTGCTCAATGCAGGTATCGAAACCCCATTTTTAGTGGTACAGCCCTCAAACTTACCGCTGAGCCACCAGGAAGCTGAATGAAATCTGAACAATGTTACACTCATGCCTGAGAGTATTAAGAATTTGTTTGCTTAATCGTAGTTGAGCACAAAGCTACACAATGGGCTATTTGTGCTGTGCCTACCAAGAGTACTGAAATCCAGTTTCTAGCATTCTAAGTCTGCAGACTTACTGCTATGCCACTGGGGGGCCAGAGAATTAAGGAAGTCTTAAAAACTATTGAAATGCACATCAAACAATAAACATTACCATTATAACTTCCAGTACACTTTTGCAATATTATTTTGTAGTTTCTTTGACTAAATACTCTTATCTAAAATATCTCAATTATATTCACACATATATTTTTTATTATTTAAAATTCTAGGATGATACAAAACTTTTGGCCATAGCTGTATATTTGGTTTAAATTTTGATATTTTTGATTCATTTCTTTAAGTAATTATTACTTAAAATTCTTTATCAATCTTCAATACAAACTGAAATATAACTTCTTAATCCTTCAACTATGGGGTCAGTCTTTATAGTATATTATTCACATATTACTTGATTAATTTTCTTGGGTCTCAATACATCATTGTTCAGTGTAAAAATAATTTAACTGATATATGTATCAAAGTAAAAGTTAAAGCTTGTAGTTTCTCCACTTATGAAATACATTTTCCAAGTTAATAATAACTAAAATAAATTGTCGTGTGCAAATGCACTCAAACTATGACTAACATGGTAGTTAAAACTAGTTTACTCTCTCTATAAAAGTGTCATAATTGACAAACATATATATTACCTGACAACAATGTAAAACACAAAAATATAAATTTCTTTAATACCCTTCACTGTATAAATATAGCTGAAAAAAAAATTATGGACAAAAGTTGTTGTTATTTATTTTAGTTTTTGTTCAAGAAATAAATCATATTACCATTTATAACATAGAAATAAAATAAAAAAATTCAAAAATACCCTGTCCAGAATAGGATTTCCACAAACACAGCATTTTTCAAGAGAATTCTGTGGGTAAAAATAAATAAAATATTTTATATTTTTATGAACTACTGGTGTTACATGTAATTATGAAAAGGGTTACATAAAAAAAGACACACAACATTTTAATCAACCAACATAAACTTTGAACAGAATATTAATTATTATTGCATACAAGTAACATGAATTGGAGTTAAAAATATTAAATATCAAAGTTTTACTTAATTAATAGTTTTCATAATGATATTAATAATATCTGTTGTTATAACTTCTAATAAAAAAAATCTTTAACACACACATTTTATATGACAGGTTTTTTTAGCACTATAACTTACTAAATAGTCTTCTTCACAGTATGGTTTTCCATCCATTGCATAAAATGATTTTCCTTGTAATTCTTTGTCTGAAAAAAACAACAGCATAAAATGAGCTAGTTACAATTAAAAAACTGAGATTCAGTTAACCACAAAAACACTCTCTACATGCCATCAAAATTTGTTAAGTAGCACAGGATTTATATCTGTTATTTTCAGGTATTGTTGCTATGATACACAGGAACTAAATCACTGTTATATTGTATAGGTATTAGAATTTAATTAGTGAACCAACTTCCACTTTTAGGTTTATTATTGAATTTTTTGAAATGAGTCCGATACAAGTTAGATTAATGATAAGAAATTGTTATTCATGCATAAAATTTATTCATATCTTTAGACATAACAATCTATTGTTTTTAATGGAAAGTCTGATTTTTGTCAACAAAGATTATTGTATTGGTTATAATTATAAAAAAGTGAGATATACTGTAAAGATAAAACATCTTCCAAAAATCCAAGAAGCCTACAGATTAAATTAATTAATTTAAAAAAGTATTATTGTCTTGGTATTTTTACATTGCAGTGTCCTTTCATCTAAAAAAGATATACCAGTTTTTCATAAACTGTTAAATAACCACTTTGTAAAAATTAATAACGTGATTTAGAACACTAGCAATCAAGAATCCCCAGTAAGACTGTTCTTTTGGGCAGAATGTAATAAAATTTTAAAGTGAGGCCCCTAATGTAAAAAACTACGCCTTTGTTAACCAACAGATTATTTTAATATTTTACATATAGAAAGAGTAAACTATAAAACAGTTATTTCTGCCATTATTATTGCCATAAAAATCATACAGAACTAGTGTTGCAGTTTTTAAGTATAATTCAAAAGTACTTCGGTTTACTATCACTCACTCACATTGTTATTTAAGATACTTATGCTATTGTATATCAAGCAAAAATATCAACTCTGTCAAAATGTAACTGATTTAAAGCACCAGTTTTAATCAGTCTTGAAAGAGGATCTGTATTATATTTCTGAACTTTTATTTTTTATGTGTATTAAAAACAATTGTCATAAATATAATATTTGACATTACTTTTTGTTTTATTTTATAGCCTATACAATAGTTAGCTATACAGCAGCATTGAACCACTAGAAATTATCAAAGTTAAATTTTTTCTTATAATTTATTCACTTTCTGACAAAGTACTTTCTATGACTTGTGTCATGAATGTGTCATGTATTATGCTTTCTTTTAATTTATAAAATTTATGATATGTTACAATTCACTAAAGTTTTTCTAGTAGCTTTGAAGGAATTAACATTTTTAATTGAAAGTTTAAAATTTCATGCTGTTACCCAAAAGTAAGTAGAAAAAATCTTCCAATTTTAAATTAACCAAAAAATTTTAAGTTTGATTAAAAGCCATATAAATGAAATGACTTTCAATATGTAGATCTATAAATATCACTCACAGCAAACATGGCAAGTAAAACAATGTATATGGTAAACTTGGTCCATAGCTGTACAGCCACTCCCTTCTCCAAGCACTTTATCCCCACATTTGTAGCACATGCCTAAAAAAAATATAAAAAAAGTGCACGAGTGCCAAAATGGTTAACAAGAAAAGTTCTATAGTTTTCCATAGCTTAAGTTCAAGGTAATGACATAAATTAAGACAAGTTTTCACACTAAGAAAAAATTATCCTTGTCTGAAAAAAAAAATTGTTAACAAAATAAAAATTTTTCTGGATGCATTTTAACATGATATTACCTACACACAGAAAAGGAAAAAAAAGATTTATGCTTGAAAAACTCTTCTTGTTTATTCTCACAATAAACATTTTAAATAGGAAAAAATCCAGCAAATAATATTCCAATCTTTTAAGTATTCACAATGACTAAGAAAGTGATATTACAAACTGACTGATTTTGGATGTAACTTCTAATGCATACAATGAAATTCTTGTCATGGATTTCCTCAAAATATATTTAAATAGATTGTATTTGATAGTGCAGTGATGCATCATATATAAACATACACTACTACTCAAAGTATAATTTCATTCAATTTTTGAATGAAATTATATTATATGAAACACATCATTGCTATATGTTGTATAGAGGTATTATTAAATGGGCATAACTATAATAGTGTTATTATAATTTAAATCTGTTTCTCCTCTTTTTGCAGGGTGGGGTAAAAAATCTGTTTAAGAAACAATTTCAGTGAGAGTTTATTTTTCATTTAAACAATATGTGGTTTATTTATTTTATTTAGTTTGAGGTTAAGTCAAAGAAAAGCATGTAACTATAGGTAATAAAAATGCTTGAAGTATTTTTAAACCTACATTACTAAAAGCTATATAAAAGCTTGGATGATAGAAAAGGTGACTGCCACATCCATAATAAAAGCAGCTTAAAAATATGTAGATATTATAGCACTGTAAAATACAAAAACATAAAAATAAAACTTGCAAGTACTTAGGAAAATTAACTACATGTATTAAGCCACCTGCACACAAAAAGAAAAAACATAGTTTGTCTAGGAATATCAGAGAAGGCATGATTTATTTTAGTGGCATTATTAAAAAATAATAGACAGTAAAGGTATCTGTCAGTTTAATATTTTTTTATGTAGTAGTGTGAAATACATAAGCTACAAAAAATAACACCTTCTAAATCTATAAGGTGATAAAAATCTTGTTTTTTTAATCAGCTAACAGTTCTGTGATTGAAACAAAAATATCCAAAGCAATGACTTATGAAAACAAATAAAAGATCTAAGATGCTAATTTTATACACCTGATTTGAAATCAGTTATATGCTAATTAAAAATCAATACAAGAAAAAAATTTCTGTATTCAAGTGGTTTTAATTACTTTTATTAGGCCTAAATCTTTTGCCAGCTTAGGCATTTCACATCACTACATTAAGTTCCTTGTACAGCATGTATGTGGAATTTCCAGTGTACTTCTAGCTGTTTTAGGTCCAAGCCCAACTGATGAGTTCTGATATTGAATGAAAGGGCTTTCTGTTTAATGACTTATGGCAGATGAAAGATAGATATGAAATGCTATTTTTAACACCCCTTTAAAAAATCTGTAATGGACTAATTAAGGAAAGTGCAGTCAAAAAACACCTTCAGTTATGTTTGATACTAATCACATTTTATCAAATTATTTTTTTATATTTAAATAAACCTGAAACATTAAGAACTATATTATTTTTAGTTATTAGAATTAAAAAAACAATGAAACTTTAAGGACAAGAATTTTAAGAAAATTAGAATGAGCTATCACAGATAACACATGGAACCCTGCATAATCTTTTTCATGTTACCAAGTATTAGGCAGCTTTTACGAGTTTAACATAAAGGCATTACTACTGCAAGCCCCCATAAAAAAGTCAAAATAAAATTACCAACTGGGGAATATCTGAAACCCCAAATGAAATTATAATCTACATATTCCATCTTATAATTTTTCATCTGTGAACTAAGCAGCAGACAATCATTTTAAGTCAAGAAGTTAGTCAAGAATGCTAGAGCAATGTAAAGGTTTCATGATAGGTGAGAAACCCAGGAATTTAATGCTTCCATCTAAATTTTGAAAACATAAAATAGCATCTGTGTTAAGTTAAAAGGAAGCAATGAATAAAATCATCATTTCATTGATATAAGTCCATACTCATTCCAAGACCAAGTTTGATACTGTTGCATCAGCGAGGTCACGTGACTAGTATCATGCCACGTCCTTCTAGAAATATCCTGTTCCTTCATGAATTCTCTAGTGTTTACGAGATGTGTTAGTCTTGTATATATAAGATGGTCACAATGTGATGGAACAGTGTGTGTGTAATTGAACTGAGTATTGTTGAGGCGAGCACGTGAGACGTCCATTGAGAATTATAGTGTTT